GACTTTTCTGGGTCTGCATATGCTCATGGCTCATCCACTTCTTTGTGATAATTCTCAAGATTTTATCAATTTATCATTCTTTCCCTGACAAGATTTGGTAATATATGGTGTAGTCAGGAATGCTCCTTCCTGGAATCTTTCTGCTTCTTCATTCCTAGACATCATTTTGGGAGTTTCTGGCACGAGACTGTAACCTGTTCTTGTTTGGTTGCTACTAGTTACCACTTTCCAAATTTTACCTTTTTTTCTTAGTTTCTAGATATTAAGAAAGGAGTTCTAAGATCTGTCCTATTTTCTCATTTTTATGTAGAAGGTTGTATTCCTGTGAAGTTCTGTAAAATAAAGCAGATCAATTCAAATAGGCTCATTTATATGTATTTAGAATGATTAAGTAACCAGAACTGGATACTTAGAAGTTCAAAGAAATATATTACATCATATATTCAGTTTCTGTCAAGAATGTGTAAACACAATGTAAGCCAACAGTATTGATGTTCATGACCTTAATGTTTATACCAAATCACTCAGAGGAGAGTAGTGTCATAGTTAAGAAGCCACATGTCATTTCTTTTTTTTTATGCTTTTAAAATTATTTTATTGTTGTTCAAGTACAGTTGTCTGCATTTTTCCCCCACCATTCCCCCTGACCCCAGCCATCCCCAACTCCCACCCCTGATCCCACCCTCCCCTTGATTTTGCTCATGTATCCTTTATAGTTGTTCCTGAAAACCCTTCCCCCTTTTCCTCCATTATCCCCTCCCACCTCCCCTCTGGTTACTGTCAGTTTGTTCTTAATTTCAATGTCTCTGGTTATATTTTGCTTTCTTGTTTGTTTTGTTGATTAGGTTCCACTGAAAGGTGAGATCATATGGTATTTTTCTTTCACCACCTGGCCTATTTCACTTAGCATAATGCTCTCCAGTTCCATTCATGCAGTCGCAAAGGGTAGGAACTCCTTCTTTCTTTCTGTTGTGTAGTATTCCATTGTGTAAATGTACCAGTTTTTTGATCCACTCATTTACTGTTGGGCACTTAGGTTGCTCATCATTATCCAACATTTGCTTATTGTAAATTGTGCTGCTGTGAACATTGGGGTGCATAGGTTCTTTGGGATTGGTGTTCCAGGATTCTTAGGATATAATCCTAGCAGTGGAATTGCCAGGTCAAAAGGCAGTTCCATTTTTAGTTTTCTGAAGAAATTCTGTACTGTTTTCCACAATGGCTGCACCAGTCTGCATTCCCACCAACAGTGCACTAGGGTTCCCTTTTCTCCACATCCTCTCCAACACTTGTTTGTTGTTTTGTTTATGATGGCCATTCTCACTGGTGTGCAGTGGTATCTCACTGTGGTTTTAATTTGCATTTCCCTGATGGCTAGTGATGCTGAGCATCTTTTCATATGTCTCTGGGCTCTCTGTATGTCCTCCTTGAAGAAGTGTCTGTTCAGGTCTTTTGCCCATTTTTTAAATGGGTTGTTTGTCTCCTGGAGTGGACTCGTGTGAGTTCTTTATATATTTTGAAGATCAGACCCTTCTCTGAGGTATCTTTGGCAAGTGTGTTTTCCCATACGGTTGGTTCTCTTTTAATTTTAATGCTATTTTCTTTAACCATGCAGAAGCTGTTTAATTTGATGAGGCCCCATTTGTTTATTCTTTCCTTTATGTCCCTTGTTCAATAATAATATTGAGGCCATGTGTCATTGACTAAATTCATCCTTGGTTTTCTCTATTTTGTTGATATCATACCATGTACCAGAAGTTTGATTCATTTATTTTCCACTATTTTTCTGTCCTCTACTTCATTATGATTACCTTCCTCATTGTTTTTCTTCCTCTTTTTTGTTTTATTTTGTTGTTCTTTTTCTAGGTTTTGGAGTTGGAAGTTTAAATAAATTGTAATTTAAATTTTTTGTTGATAGAGTATTAATACATATATATTTTCTTTTGATCATTGCTCTAAATGATGTAGATATTAAAGCTATTGGTTTTCTTCTATTATTATTTTAACTCTTATAGATTCTAATACATAATGTGTTCATTATCATTATTTTTCAGAATTTTTGTGTTTTCTCATTGTATTCTGCCATTCACCCAAGAAGTGTTAAAAGGCTTTTGAGTGTGTGTGATCAGGCAATATTTTTATTAGCTTCATTATATAGAAATTATTGTATTATATAGAAATGCATTATAATTCAATACAGGATCATTGAAACTCCAACATGCTTATAAATACATGTAATTCAATACACAATCAACTTTGCAATTCAATGCATGTTCCATATGTAATTGAGAAACAAATATATTCTCTGTTATCAGCGTGTAATGTTTAATATATATCCTGGAGATCTGCTTTATTTTGATTATGGAGTCTCAAAATTCTATGTCTTTTCTTATTTTAGTCTACATGGCCTGTCTTGTACTACAAATATGTGTTAAAATCTTTTATTATCATTCTCTGTATTCTACCTTACACCTTCTATAGTTTTACATCTTGGTTTGTAGTTTTAGCCTTATATAAATCATGCATAAATATTCATAATTTTTGTATTCCCATTATGATTTACCTACTTTTAGTTTTATAAAATGTCTTTTTATGTCTTGTATTCTAATAAGAACTCAACCACTACTCTCTTATTGTTTCCATATGCCTGACATGCTTATAACTTTTGTATTTTTGACTATTTGAAACAAAACCAATTTTAGTATAGAGTTAAGCTTTGCTTTGTGAGCCAGTTGAAAATCTTTTTTTTTTAAGATTTTATTTATTTATTTTTAGAGAGGGAAGGGAGCGGGGGGAGAGAGAGAGAGAGAGAGAGAGAGAGATATCAATGTGCGGTTGCTGGGGGTTATGGCCTGCAACCCAGGCATGTACCCTGGCTGGGAATCGAACCTGGGACAATTTGGTTCCCAGCCTGCGCTCAATCCACTGAGCTACGCCAGCCAAGGCTGAAAATCTTTGTATAAGTAATCTAGGCTAAGTCTATGCATGTTTATTGATATGGCAGATATGTTTGATTGCAGCTTGACATTTTGTTCTTTAATTATTGTGTATATTATGTTATCATTATTATATTTATCTCTTTGGTGTCTTTAATTTTTTTAAGTTTCTTCTATAATTCAGAAAGCTTTAGCCCTGGCTGGTGTGGCTCAGTGGATTGAGTGCTGACCTGTGAACCAAAGGGTCACTGGTTCGATTCCCAGTCAGGGCACATGCGTGGGTTGTGAGCCAGATCTCCAGTAGGGGATGCAAGAAAGGAGACCACACATGGATATTTCTCTCACTCTCTTTCTCCTTTTCTCCCCCTTTGTCTGCAAATAATAAATAAAGTCCTTAACAAAAAAAGAGAAAATTTTGTATCATTTAAATATTATTTTCTTTTTATTTATACCTGTTATAATGCTTGCTCTTTTTATTTAACCATCTACTATCTGGTTTGTCAATTTTAAACAGTATCCTTTGTCACTTACCTATTACCTATACAAAAATCAATAATCTCAGTCTACTTTCCCCTTTCTCTCTCTTCTCCATCATTTATTTTCAGTTTCATCCTTTATAGTTTGTCAGATTATATAACATATGCTCTTTTCTACCCTCCTATGACCTCACTCTTGTTTTAGTCTCAGTTCTATAGATTAATATATTAAGTACTCATCATCAGTTCTTTTGAAGTTTCTCTAGTTATCTCTTTGCTTTGATGAAATGCATCCTGTCATATATTTCTCAGAGAATTAACCTTTGTACAGTATTCCCGAGTCCTTTCATACTGAAAGCTGTAGACTTGACACTTGAAAGATAGTTTAGCTGTACCTGAAATTCTTGATTTGCACTTTATTTTCTTGAGCTTCTTGAGAGTAAAGTCAGCATCCAGATACTGTGAATTATTTATAATCACTGGTCACTGAATTGTTTTAACTATATTTATATTTGTTTTCAGTTTATAAAACATATAGAAGACAACTTTAGTTTGGAGCCTTAGTATTATTTAGTTTTATTTAAGAGTTTATTTATTTATTCTTAAAGAGAAGGGAAGGGTGGGAGAAAGAGAGGGAGAGAAGCATCACATGTGGTTGCCTCTCATGTGCGCCTCCCACAGGGGACCTGAAACCGTGCTTTGACACTTCATAGCCTTTCTCTCTTTTTAAGTATACATTTATTGATGAAATGTTTCATTAATGAATTTGTTTTCAATAGACATAGAACCATAAAACCAATAGGCATGTGTGTTTTGGATCACCATTGAATCCATTCTTCCTAACAGAGTGTCTTATCACAGAGTGGGGTGGGAAATACAAGACCTGTTGGTGAATGAATACCTAGGTGAATATATAAGTTGGTAGAAGAAAGAGTAAATGAATAAAGAACATGACCTAGCATGCATAACTTCTTCAATAATATAAAGATCCAAGATAAACATTGGAAATAAATACATTGAATTCATTTAAATCATTCATTGTATTTTCCCTTGCATAATTTTACTCCTACATGATTTTCTTCATTATTTTTTTGTATTACAAAGGAAATAGGAAATAGAAATAACAGATGATAATATTTAGCTGTGTTAACAAGTGCTCTTGAGCAAATCTGGTAATGAGCAATTACAGGCAAACAACTTCTTGCATTTACTATGACATTCATTCCTATAAATTATATTAGAATTCCATTATTTTTGTGTGTTTCTGTCATCCTATAGTCTCATCTATTACATCTTTTGGCCTAAAAATCTATAGTTAAATAATAATTTATCTACTTGCATGTCCTCTATACCTCCTTTTTCAGTAGCTTATCATACTTTACATACTTTGCTGTGAGTATATAACTTACTAGTCTCCCATGAGACCTTTCATTCTTTATGGGCTTCAACCATATTTTACTCATCTAGGTATCTACAGGAAGCAATAATACCTAATAAACACTTAATGAATTATTCTATGAATGAATTTTAATTAAACATTTAATACATGTTATATATTCCTTAATAATTTTTTCTTTTATATTTCCAGTTAAAACTCAGGTAATGGGAGAAATCAAGGTTGCGCTGAAGAAAGAAATGAAGACAGATGGTGAACAACTGATAGTTGAAATTCTCCAGTGCAGAAATATCACCTATAAATTTAAATCTCCTGATCATCTACCGGGTATCTGATTTTATTTATTTATTTATTATTTTAAAATTATTTTTATTGTTCAAGTACAGTTGTCTCTATTCCCCTCCCCATTACTCCCCCTGATAATGAGCAACATAATATATATCAGAATTCTTTAGGAATATGTCCTAAATATTTTGGAAAATGTGAACTGAAATTTGGACTGTACATCAAATATATCTGAAAACTGTGAAATAAGAATTAATTTCTGTTACAAAGAATAAGTTGATATTTTAATAGTTTTTAGCTATATTTTTTCTAAGATAATTTGTATATGTTTTAATCCTTTTATGTCATCGGAAACAAATTGAACACAATCTGCCGGCTTTGTATAAACTGTAGGAGAGCTCTCAGTGTACTATTACAGTGCTTTCAGTAGGACGTTGTGTGGTTAATGAACACTTTACAAGCTGAATTCTTATTTTCAGATTTATATGTGAAAATATATGTGATGAACATCTCTACCCAAAAAAAGGTAATCAAGAAAAAAACAAGAGTATGTAGACATGACCGAGAGCCTTCATTCAATGAAACTTTTAGATTCAGCCTAAGTCCTGCTGGACATTCTCTGCAGGTAATACTGTATTATACAGTTTCTATTCAACATTTGTATTGACACAGTATTTATTTTCCATTTAATTATTTAATATTTATAAATTGATTTTATACTATGTTACATTTCATAGATCAATTAATTCTTAGATGTATCTTCCCAGGGGCCCTTCAGGATTTCACAGGCAACTCACCCTATCCAATTAGCTACCAAGTCTTCTCTGTCCTGTCAGTTTATTTTCTGGAGAATTATGTCCATGCTCAATGCTTCTAATCTTCTTTGGGTTCTCATCTTTGTTACTCAAATCTTTTCAGCACTATACCCAGCCTCCCGGTTATTGATGTTTTACCCTTTTAATTTATTTCATCATACTGACAACAGATGTATCTTTTTAAAACACTGGCCATGTTATATTAAAGCTGCTGACTCATTCACGTTACCCTCTAAGGTGAGTTCTAAGTGTTGGATTTAATCACATCACCTTGTATACCTTTCCACACACTCTGTATTTCAGTCACAGCAGCATCTTTTCAAATCAGATTAAGCCTCCAATCCTTTGCTCCTATTTTTACTCCGCTTCACTAAGCTCTTCTCCATCTCTCTTCAGCCAATACAGCACTCCACATCTTTTAATGAAAACTCAGCCCTTTAATGGTGAACCCTGATGTAGTTCAACATGCCTTATTCATATAACCTCATTAAGCAACGAATCCCAATCTGTCTTTTGCAATAAATTATAGACTTCCCTGTCATTGCTTTTACTCTATCAGCTTCTTTAGCACAAGGCTGATGTTCAGTGTTCTTTGTTCCAAAGTCTAATACAATGATTGTAAAGAGTGTGTCTTCAGTAGATGTAGAGATAAAGAATAAAATAGGGAAAAGGAAGAGGAAGAAAAGTGATGACAAATATGGGAAGAGAAGACCATGGTGCTGGCACTTAACATAAAGGTCTGCAGTAGAGACAAATATAAGAGATATTACAAAGCAAAAACTACATTGAGAGAATTAACTTACATTATAGAGTGAAAGAGAATAAAAAGTTAAAGGAGACTCTGCAGGCTGTGTGGCGAAAATCTCATTTGCAGAGATTGAGTAGTTAGAGAGTGAACTGTGAGAGAGATCATGAAGTTGTTGCAATGTGATAAACTCGACAAGATAGGCAGGATCCAAGTGAAAATATACAATACTATTTGAAATACCAAAATCAGAGGCCAAAAAGATAGTCATAATCAGAAATGTAGATTATGAAGTCAGAAACATAAGAACAAAATTTAGGCAGGAGTAACAATTCTGATATGAGAGAGAGAGAGAATTAATAGTTAGCTGTACTTAATGTTCTCTATCTTCTCTTCAACTCAGTTCTAAAAGAAAAAAAATTCTTGATTCTAGGATCCTATGGGATTTCAACTAATAAATGTGTCCCACACATGACAAAAAAACATTTTGGAAATGCATACTATAGTAAAATCACCAGTAAATTTAATGCCAGATAAAATTACTGTTATGTTTTATCTTGTGCACTCATTGATTTACTCAGTACTAGTAAAAATGTACCTAGGAAAGTGTGTGTGTGTGTGTGTGTGTGTGTGTGAAACTTCCCATCAGTTTAAGCATAAACCTGGTTGGAACTATCTGGGAATACATGTCTGATCTAGAATTCTCATACCCTTCAGCCTGTGTCTCTTCCTCTGGGAAATGTTGATGTGAATTCATTAATAATGTGCAAATCTTTTGAGGACATTCTTGTTATGAGCTCACTCATAAGTATGCCTGCTACTATATCTCACCCTCACCCTTTCTTGTTTGTGTTTTATCTTTGATGATAAAATGTCCTTAAAAGAGTTTGAAAATATATAAATGTATATATAACTTTGGCTCTTTTTTCTAGATTTTACTTTTCTCCAATGGAGGGAAATTTATGAAAAAGACCTTGATTGGTGAAGCCTGTATCTGGCTTGACAAAGTGGATCTCAGAAAAAGAATAGTCAACTGGCACAAACTTTTGGTCAGTCCTACTCAAACCCACTGAAGTGTGTCTGCTCAGAGTGGAGCAACTGCACTACGTGATCTCAAATGAACACTATAGTTGGATACTATTGTACTAAGCTGTGTTTTCTGGGATGAACCTGAGAGGAGGAACAACGGGCAAAAATATACTTAAAGCCTTGTGAATGTGTTGTGGAACCCAGAAACAAACACAAATGAACAAGTTTCATGTATCGAAGGCCCCCCCGCCCCACCAAAAAAAAAAGGAACTCTGAGACCTTGGATTTCTTGCAGCTGTCAAGACAATATCACAGTGAGAAAAATGTTGATTACTCAATGCAAAAATCTTTGAACAGAGTTGAGAGAGCTAAAGGCAGAGTGCAAAGATTAAAATGGTTTCTAATGCAAACAAAAGTAATCCATTATGCGAAAAGGAACTTGGTCAAAAGGAAAGAACTGATGTAACAAATCTGTTTTCGAAAGTTCAAAATCTTTTTTCTTCATCTTATCTTCTCAGACAACTTACTATTTTGAGATTCTTACCTACAATACACCTACAATATGTGTCCACGGCTAGAAGTAAAGTAGCGTGGTCATAGGAAGAAGAAAACTGAAAGTGTAGAAATTATGGCTTTTAGACCACACTGTACAGATTTTCACTGTGTAAATGTTACAAGTGTGAACGACACTAATTTTGAAATCCATGTTGTAAAAGCACATTTGTACAATTTGAAATAATGTAGAATGAAGATAATACTAAGTAGAAATGGTATTACATTTATGTAGAAATAAAGCCAGGATGGTAAAGACAATATTGCACCACAAAATATTGGAACCCTGGTTGAAAACGAAATCTTCATAACTTACCCTTATACCAAGACATTTGCAATCTACATACCAAAGGACACAGATTAAATTGGTATGTTCTAGCAGGCATGGTAATTCTTTCTTTGTGGAATTGCAAATGAATGTATTATCCCACATATTTCATTTCTTTTAAATGATATATTGACGGAGTGAAAATTCTTCCTCTGGCAAACAAGTCATAGTAATCCGTGGCATTCATTAATTAAACCGGTGTCATTTTCTGCTCTTTTATCATTGTTTGCCTTAGCACATTGATTGGTTGTTTAGTGAAAACCCTGACACCACTCAAATTCTCTGCTCCATTTTCCGCCTTTAGTGACAATATCACAGTGATCAGGTTCATCCATGTTGGGAAAATATGGGAAAAGTCGACATCATATTGAGATTAAAATAAAATTTGCACTATTTTAACTGTATAAAGTAAAAGGACCAATGTCTAAGTCATTAAAATGAGGCATCCTCCTGTCCATCAACCCACATTAACAAAGGAAGTAACAAGGAATGGCAGGAAGCACACTCAACTGTGATGAGCAAGCCTGGCTTTGGGTCTTGGTTCTGCCACTGGCTAACTGTGTCTCCTTCACATGTCACTTAAACTCATGTTCCCCAGTGTTCTTATTTGTAGGATAAAAATGTTATATATTCCTAGCCTTCCTAATGGGATATTGGGTGATCAAACTAATTGATCTATGAGAGAAAATGAAAGCACATTTCCAAGTATAGTTTTATACACATAAATGAAGAATTATTACACAGTTCTTTTATTTTTTGAATTTTATATGCAAAAAAAGCATACTGCTAACCAGTGGCACATATTAACATAGATAAGAGCAGTATATTAGCTCCAAAACTCATTTTTCTTTAAAATATAAATTTTCATTCAACCTGAAAAAAAATACATGAAAATTGTTTTACAATTCGATTATTATAAATTAAATAAATTATACTGATTTTATCCTATTCCCATATGCTACCCCCCCCCCCAAAAAAATTAAATGCTACTCAGAGCATTCAGAACTGAAGACCTACTTCTTTATTGAAGGGTGAGATTTTAATAGGTTTAGAGAAATCATCTCTAAATATATTGCTTGGATATTGAACTTCCTCATTTTTAAAGAAAAACATACTTTAATTTTGAGGGGAATTGATTAAATGTAACACATTGAAAGTTTAAAAAAATACTAATAAGTTTCGGGTTGTATATCTTTATTATACTCATGAAAAAATACAAATTCACTCTTCCTCTAAGGAAGGTAATAGTCATTTATTCTTCCTTTTATTTTTCATTCTTCCTGCCCTGACAATGCAGTGTCGTTTACCATTGATATTTCTTTAAAATGAGCATGCAGGGAAGGGATCCCTAAAGATGTGATAGTGCTAGGACTTTATTTTTAGAGACAACTATATCTGTTAATGGTTGCCATGGATATTTCCAGAAAAAGTCAGCATTTTAGGAAGTTGATAATCATCACTCGTAACTGGAGAAGAAAAGGGTTCAGAAAAAATCTCCTGACATAAAAAGGCTCTACTATTTTCCCATAAAAGGGAACTCTGGCCTACCTTTGGTCTCTTTTGCAGCTACTTACATCCAGAGGTATGCATGAGAGGTTGTATAACCAGTTCGTTTACTTTATTCCAGTTGTAATTTCTTTTAGAATAATTCAACTGAAGGTGCCACCAAAACAAAGATCACCCCTGGGTAGCTATTTGACCTGTAAGAGTAGGAGTCTTTCCACTTTAGGTGCTCCTCTGTTCCAAGAAACTGGTGGTGAGGCCAGGTCCATCAGGAGAGCCAACAACAGGGCTTCTTTTTGCTCACCAGCATCCCACTTAAGAGAACACGAGATCCTGCCAAAGTGCTCCAAGAGTGCAGCTACCCAATCTCCTGGCTTGTACTGGAATTATTCTATGCAACACCAATCCTTACGTGAATGCATTTATGAATGATGTTGGTAACCCTTCTAAAAACAAAACTATTTCTTTTTTAATTGCAAATAGGGATCTTGGTGTTTTTTACTTTTTTGTATATATCACAACACATGATTTTCCACTTTTTATTTTATTTTATTGGAATTAGTTTTTTTAAACCTAATAGTGACAAAGTTTGTAATCTCTTAATAACATGTGATTAGTCCATTTACAGCTCTTATATCTTGAAAAACATCTTAATTTTCCCCACAGTTTCGTTGAGTCATCAGAGACTGAAGTTGCTTCTTGGTTTAAAATTTGGTCCTAAACACCTTTTAGCCGTAGAACCAAAAGCACAGAAAGAATTTTCACAAAGGACAGGGATTTACAGAATGGTTGTTGCAGACTTAAACATTAGTTGCAAAAAGTTTTTTTCCCTGTTATTACTTAAGATAAAGGAGACTTTTGGTGACTCTGAATTTTTTATTTACCATTTCAGTTTAAAAGAACAGTATCCATGACAAAGGGGCAGTGATCACTTTGCTCCTTAATATTGCCCATATTGTAATTACTCACACTACTAAATGCATATTTTCAACCTATTCATGGAATTAATTTTGTGGATCACACACATTCAAATAGCTATATTGTGGGACTATTATAGCTGGTAACCAGCTGAAACTGATTCTTATTATAGGAACAGTTGTGATGATAGTGGTGATAGCCGTAGTGACACTAGGCTGGTGGTGATGTGAAGTAAATTAAAATTATATACTATATTGTGCCCAATTTATTAGAAATTATTTGATCAATGTTTCATTTCATTAAGATATCATAAAGATATTTATAGTATTTTTTTACTTTGTTATTTAAATCATAACTAATAATATTTTTAAAAGCTTATTTTCATTGCTACAATGTCTAATATTCCAAAAGCAGACGACTACAGCTATATATGTTTATAACTCTAAGTATGACGGAGTGATGTTCCCTCTTTTGAGCTTGAGATGGAAGTGAAAGTTCAATGAATAATTATGAGCTGTCTCTTTAATAATTACTTGCCTTTGATGTAATACAAGAATGAATGAGTGAAGTAGATTTTCTCATTGAATATGACACATTGATATGTTCTGTATGTTCCGTGTTGTTGTTGTTGTTAAAGATACCCATTAAATCAAATGATTCCTTATCTGATAGGTAGATTGAGAGCATTTTCTTAATTCATTACCCTGTATATAACTATACATTTGGTGAAATAGACAAAGTTGAAGTATTGATTTCATTTGGCATTCAGCATGTGAATATGATTATTGTTTGATTGTGTCTATATATTTGTTGGTGATGTGCTCAGGTGCCCCCACTACCGATTAATGTGTGTGCTGATATCCTAACAAAAACACATCTGATGTTAAAGGAAAAAATCATTCTTATCTGAGAAAATAAAACCTAATAAAATTGGTTTCAAAATACTTGGAAATATGTCTCGTTTCAAACTATATGTTGCATGCCGTGTTGGTGATCTGCTGATGTGTTCTTTTCTGTTCTACTGAAATCTCTCTGGAAAATCTGATGGACAAACACAAATTTTGGGGCTAAGGGTTATAAAAACTGAACTGAAATACATGAGAATTGAATTAAAAATGCTTGTAGATCTGTCTTGAATTTTACTCTATGTAAAAATATGTCTTGGTTCTGTGATTGTATACAAGATGTATCTTGATAACTTATTCAAATTGTGCTATTTAAAGGCTGTTGCATCAGCCTTACTAATAAACATTGAAAATATCAACTTTGACATCTTGTGTTTATCAACTTGATAAATTGATACTTAATATGTAAATACAACATTTTGGACATTTTCTGTGAAAAATATATCACCAGTACATTTACTTACCACATTTAAAATATATTTTACACAACACAGAAAACAAATGTTAGCTTAATAAATTAATACTATATGGAAGATGCTCTTGTAATCACCAGCAGACTAAGAAATTGAATTCAGCCAGTGATCTCCAAAGACCTCCATTTAACCCATTCCTATCACAATTCCCTTTAATGTAACCACTATCCTGATATTTATGATAATTATTTCCTGGTTTGTCACTGTCATCTGCCTAGTAAACACTCATGTAGTTTTCCTGTTTTATTTTCCTTTTGTTTTGTAAGCATCTTCTAGTCAACATATTCTCCTTCCCACCACTTCTGTTTCGGTGAATCTTGTTGAAGAAACTTGGTTTTTCCACTGGTGTGATTCCTCGAAATCCATATTTTGCTGATTCCATACTCAGAGTGTTGTTAACAAGTTCCTCTGCCTCGTGTTGCCTGGCTTGTGGGCTTTTGCTCTACAGATTTGACCTGATTCACAGGATTGTGTTGTATTCCACCATCAGGAGACACACAATGCTTGGCTGTCTCGTTTGTTCCACTCACAGCCACTGTTGCTCAATGCCTACAATAGATCTGTTAATTAATCAGATATTACAAAGTGGTGACATGCTGGTCAGTCATCACTTCTACTTGGGATACTTTTAAAAAGATAAACACCCCTTCAACCAGTATTTGATTACCCATTAGTATAGTTTGTGTAGAAAATTTGGGATAAAGGCAGAGGAAGTGGGATGTTTTCCTCTATCACCTCTATCATAAAATCTACAAATAACTGTAGTTCTTTGAAATAAATAAATTGTTCGGTAAAAAATAAATTTCCAACAATTCACTTGAGAAGATCAATAAAATTAACAAACCTGTGGCAATCAAAGGAGAAAGAAGGCCAAGTTACACTTATCGAGTATGAGAAATTAATATAGTTGCTAACACCCAAAGCCAAAACTTAAAAAATCCAATCTAGCAATGTATAAAAGTGATAGAATCAAGACCAAGTTGAACTCCAAGTTACACGAGATTATCTCAATGTTGGAAAACAAAGTAATGAAAGCTAGTGCATTGGTAGTGTATTAAAGTATAAAATTATAAGATGCTGGGCAATTTTGATATAATTCAAAATCCAAATTCATAACAAAAACTTTATAGCACACCTGGAAGGAAAGAGTACTCTTTAAATCTGATAAATACTACCTACCAAAGGAAACAGACAAACAAATGGATGAACAGATGAACAAGAAGCTTGGTGGTAAAAGGATTGAGGGCTTTTCTTTCTCAACCACAAACAAAACAAGTATGCATATAGCCATCATTCTTTTCAATACCTTTATCAGAGTTTCTAGCCATTGTGTCAAGGCTAGAAATAAATACAAATAAGGGAGTAAGAAGTAAAAGAAAAGAACTACAGTTATTTGTAGATTTTATGTCTTTGTGTATAGAAAACCCAAAACAGCCAACAATTTGTTTTAGAACATATGAGAATTTGTCATTTACTAAATACAAGAACTACAAAATAGAAAAATACAAAAATAAATTTTTCCCTGAATGTGAATAAGAAAGAGGCAATTTAAAGTATCAAATACCTAGGAGTAAATTAACAAAGAAGTTCAAGACTCTATAAAGAAAATACTAAAATTTATCAAGATATTAAGATCTAAATGAAATGATCATTGATTAAAAAATTGAATATTTCAGTGATATGTAATTCATCCTAAATTACAAAATTCATTGATTTAATGCAGTTAAGTTTTTCAAAAGTGTGTGGAATTTGGTAAACTGATTATAAAATTTATGTTGAAGTACAAAGGGCCAAAAGAACCAGAGCACACTTAAAAAGAAAGAACAAGATATAAGAATAATTTCTATCAGATATTAAGACCTGTTATAACAATATGGAAACTAAAGAGAGTATAGTGCTGACACAGAATAGATAAATTGAACAATGGAACAAAATTACAGACTCACATATGAAGGGACATTTCAAATACAACAGAGAAAATAAAGTAGATCTGCAAGAAAGCACAAACTCTCAATTAAATAGCATAGGTCAACTGAGCAATCACTTGAAAAAATAATATTGGACCCTGTCTCTCACACTTTGCAAATATAAATTCCATATAATTTGAAAAAGAAATTTATAAAACATTCAGAGGAAAATATAAGAAAATAGCTTCATAAACTTGGGGGAGGAAAAGATTTCTTAAACAAAACTTACTAAATAAAAGGAAAAGTTGATAAATTCAATTACATAATAATAAAGACTTCTATTCCTCAGATGCCATAAAGAAGTTGACAGGGAGAGCAAAAAAAATTAGGAAAGATATATTCATGTCAAAAACACATAAGAAATCAGAGGAAAAAGAAAAGCAATGTAATGGAAATATAAGAAAAACTCTTGAACAGATACTTTACATGAGAAGAAATTCAAATGGTTCATAAACATATAAACAGATGCTCAACCTCATCAGTTTTCAGAATATTCCAATTTAAACTACAGTGATATATGATATGCCATATATTATACAATATGTAAAAAACTAGTCTGAGGAAGCCAACTGTTATAAATGAAATTTTCAGGTAAATATAAATTAACATAAGCATAAATCAGTACAAGCATTTAAAAAATAGCTTGAAATTACCTTGTATTATTGAAAATTACCATAACTTCTAACTTTTTTCTTTTTAATAATTTTTATTTTTCAATTACACTTGATGAACAATATTATTAGTTTCAGTGTATAACCCAGTGATTAGACATTTATATAACTTATGAAGTGACCATCCTGATAAATCCAGTAACTATCTGACACCATACATAGTTATTACAATGTTTTTCGCTGTATTCCGTATGTTGTACTCTACATCCCCATGACTATTCTATAACTACCAAATTGTACTTGTTAATCCCTACATCTTTCTCACACATCCTCCAACCCCCTTCCCTTCTGGTAACCATCGAAATGTTCTCTCTGAGTCTCTTTCTGTTCTGCTTGTGCATTTATATTGTTATTTTAGATTCTACATTTAAGTAAAACCGTATGGCATTTTTCTTTTTTCTGCCTGATTTATTTCACTTAGCACAATGCCCTCTAGGTCCATCCATATTGTCGCAAATGACAAGATTTCATTCTTTTTTATGGCTGAGTCATATTCCATTGTATATATGCACCACTGTTGTATTCATTTATCTATTGGTAGACACTTAGGTTACTTCCATATCTTGGTTGTCATAAATAATACTGTAGTGAACATATAGGTGATAGATATGTATTTATTGCCATTTTATTATTCATATTTTTGATCTTTAATTTTTTTCTTCTTTGTCTTCCTAAACATTTAACATTTCTCATAATGCTGATTTGGCAATGATAAACTCTTTTAGCTTTTTCCTATCTGAGAATTTTTCTTATCTGTCCTTTGATTTTAAGGATATCTTTGCTGTGTAGAGTAATCTTGGTTGTAGGTCCTAACTTTTCATGACTTTGAATATTTTGTGCCAGACTCTTCTGGCCTGCAAAATTTCTGTTGGGAAATCAGTTGACATCTTATGAGAGTTTCCTTGTCGGTAATTAATTACTTTTCTCTGCTGCTTTTAAGATTTCTTCTTTGTCTTTAATCTTTGGCACTTTAATTATGCTGTGCCTTGGTGTGGTTTTCTTTGGGTTCATTTTGTTTGGAACTATGTGCTTCCTGGACTTGTATGTCTATTACCTTCACCTGGTTAGGAAAGTTTTAAGTAATTATTTTTTCAAACAGGTTCTCAATTCCTTGCTCTCTCTTTTCTTCTTCTGGCATCCCCATGATGCAATACTTGGTATGCTTGAAGTTGTTGCAGAGACTCCTTAAACTATCCTCATTTCTTTGTATTCTTTTTTCTTTTTGCTGTTCTGATTGGGAGTTTTTTTCTTTCTTATCTTTCAAATTGTTGGTTTGATCCTCTGCTTCATTTATTCTTTCATTGATTCCCCATAATATATTCTTCATCTCAGTTAGTGTATCCTTCATTTCTGAGGGGTTCTTTTATATGTCCTCTATCTCCATTTTTATGTTTTCTATCTCTGTGTTGCAGTTCTCCCTGAGATCATTGAACATCCTTAAAACTAGTGTTTTGAACTCTGCGTCTGGTAGATTGCTTATCTCCTTTTTGTTGAGGTCTTGTTCTATAGTTTTGTTCTGTTCATTCATCTGGGACATGTTTCTTTGTCTCCTCATTTTGGCTGCCTCCCTGCATTTGTTTCTATGCATTAGATAACGATGCTGTGTCTCTCAGTCTTAGTAGAGTAGCCTTATGTAGTAAGTGTCCTGTAAGGCTAACAACAGCACATCCTCTCAGGTCACTAGAATTTGGGAAAGTGCATGTCCCCACCTCCTGTGTGGATTGCGTGCACCCTCCCATTGTAGTTGAGTCTTGATTGCTGTCAGTGAAAGAGATTTATTCCCCAGGTGATTGACTTCGAGGACTGGCAGTGATCAGAGCAGAGGATCTGTTGTTCAGTGGCCAACTCCACAAAGCAAGATGTGGTGCCCACTGAGTTCTTAAGTGGTTCAGGTTTTGAGGTGGTTAGGTGGTGCTTTCGAATGGTCTGAAACTGCCCACCCATGTTCTAGTTCTGGGGCCTCCCAGGAGGTGCAGACCAAAGTCAGCTTATGCTTGTGCCCTGCCTGGAGTCACCCAGCATGAGCTACAAAGTGATCTGCAAATGGCTACTACTTGTGCTGGCCTTGGAGGTAAGGCAAAGCTATGAACCCA